AAACCTAACCCTAACTCTATCGCTAACCCTAACCCTAACGCTAACCCTAACCCTAACCCTCACCCTACCCCTAACCCTGACCCTAAACCCTAGCCCTAACACTAAACCTAAACCTAACCCTGAACCAACCACTAAACCGAACCATAACCGAAACCCTAACCCAACATTAAGCCCAACCATAACCCTTGATCCTAAAGCAAAACCTAACCCTGACACAGACCTAGCCCTAACCCAAACGTTAACCCTTACCCTATCCCTAACCCAAATGTTAACCCTTACCCTATCCCTAACCCTAATGCTAGCCCTAATCCTAAACCTAATGTTAACCCTGACCCTAACCCTGACACTGACACTAACCCTGATCCAAACACCGACCCTGACCCTAACCCTGAACACATCCCTAGGACTAGTCCTTACCCTAACCCTAACATATCCCTGACCCTAACAATAGATTGACCCTAACCCTCACCATGACACTGACCTTAAACCTAGACCTGACCCAAACCCTCACCATGACACTGACCCTAACCTTGACTCTAACACTAATCCTAACCCTAACCCAAGACTGACCGTAACACTCACCAACCCTCACCCTAACCCTAGACCTGACCTTAACTCTCACCATGACCCTAACCCTAGACCTGACCCTAAACCTATCCCTCACTGTGATCCTGACCCTAATCCCGATCTTATACTCAACCCTAACCCTGACCCTGACCCTAACTCTAACCTTATCACAGGTTCCCCATTCCACCTACATCAGTACAATGACTGTCTGCTCAGTGGAATCTCTGCCCCATAGAGTTATACAGCACAACAGAGGCCCTTCAGCCCATCATCAAACATCTGTCTACTCCCAGTGCCCTTTTCCCAGGAATTGGCTCATAACCTTGTACCCTGTGCCACTTCAAGCAATGGTCACTTCCTTTAGGACCTCACATCCAAGCCCAGACCCATCTCATTCTCAAATGCTGGCCTGCCAGTCCCATATAGAGTGAGGAAGAGCAAACTGTATCTCACTGAGGACAAATGGCATGCCTCATCTGAAAGTACGTAACTTCTTTCAATTACATTCTTGCTCGTTCCTTCCTGCACCTTACTGATCTCTTCCCACATTCCTACCTTGGTCACGTTTCTGACTGTAAGGGCAGAAGAACTAGGAACAGGGGTAGGCCATTCAGCCCCTCGCTCCTGCTCCACCATTTCAATGCGATCATGGCTCATCTCATTTCAGTCTTGACTCCTCTCTCCTGCCCACTCTCCGTAACGCTTCGACTTGTTATGAATTAAAAGTCTGTCCATCTCCTCCTCGAATTTACTCAGTGTCCCAGCATCTGCCACACTCTGGGGAGTGAATTCTACAGATTCACGACCCTTTGAGTGAAGTCATTTCCCCTTCTCTCTCTCTGTGTTAAATTTGTCTTATTCTAAAAACTATGACCTCTCTGCCCAGATTGCCCCCAGAGGAGAAAGCATCCTCTTACAGTGACTTTGTCCATCCCCAGTGTGTGTGGGGGGCGGGGAGGTAGGTTTAAGGTGAGAGGGGAAAGATTTTAAAGGGACCTGAGGGGTAACTTTTTCACACAGAAGGTGATGTGTGTGTGGAACGAGCTGCCAGAGGAAGTGGTGGAGGCTGGTACAATTACAACATTTAAAAGGCATCTGGATGGGTATATGAACAGGAAGGGTTTAGAGGGATATGGCTAGGGTCTGTTAGCTTGGGTCTTATGTGTAGCTTTGGGCACAGCGTTGTAGGAAGGATGTGAATGTGTTGGAGAGAATGCAGAAGCAGTTTACAAGGAAGGTCCCCGGGATGAGAAACTTCAGTGATGTGGACAGATCGAAATCATCATCAAAATCGTAGAATCCCTGCAGTGTGGAAGCGGGCCATTCAGCCCACTGAGTCCACACCAACTCTCTGAAGATTGTCTCACCCAGAACCAGCCCATCCCTGTAACCCTGCATTTCCCATGGCCAACCCACCTAACCTGCATATCTTTGGGCTGTAGGAGGAAACTGGAGCACCCGGAGGAAACCCATCAATAATAAGGTTCAAAAGAGAACAGAATGAATACTTACAGAGGGAAAATTTTGAGTGCTTTGGGGAAAGTCTAGGGCAGTGAGACTAAATGGAGACCTCTTTCATGAGCCAGCATAAGGCTAAGGGGCCTCTTATGGTGCTGTGTGACATTATATAGTTTGCTTTGCTTTTGGCGAAGCTTTGGTGATGGATTTGTTGTCTCAGGCTTTGATAACTCTGTTCCTCAGTCAGAAGGTTGTCCTGGGCCAATAGCCCTACGCTCAATGCCCATTTTGTCTGGTGTTGACTGAAGACCACCCTACTAATGGTTGGGGGCCCTAATTTGGGCAGCATGGTGGCTCGGTGGTTAGCACTGCTGCTTCACAGCGCCAGGGACCCAGGTTCAATCCCACCCTCAGGTGACTGTCTGTGTGGAGTTTGCCGGTTCTCCCTGTGTCTGTGTGTGTTTCCTCCGGGTGCTCCGGTTTCCTCCCACAGTCTGAAGATGTGCAGAGTATTGGCCATGCTAAATTGCCCATAGTGTCCAAGGATGTGCAGGCTAGATGGATTAGCCGTGGGAAATGCAAGGCTACAGGGCTGGTGTGGATCTGGGTGAGATACTCTTCAGAGGATTGGTGTGGACATGATGGACCAAATGACCTGCTTCTACATTGTAGGAGTTCTAATTCTAATACTGTAGGTGAGATCTGGCTTTATGCAGACAACCCACGGTTATCAGGAACAAAAACAGAAGTTGCTGGAAAAGCTCAGCAGGTCTGGCAGCATCTGTGAAGGAAAAAACAGAGTTCAGGTCTGGTCACCCTTCCTCAGAACTAAACCATGGTTATCATGCTGAAATTGGGAATTTGGGGGAAAAAAAAATACATGGCCCAATCCACAACAGGAGCAAGTAGGCTCAGTGGTTAGCGCCGCTGCCTCACGGCACCAGGGACCCAGGTTCGATCCCACCCTCGGGTGACTGTCTGTGTGAAGTTTGCACATTCTCCCCGTGTCTGCGTGGGTTTCCTCCGGGTGCCCCGGTTTCCTCCCACAGTCCAAAGGTGTGCAGGTTAGGGTGGGTTGGCCGTGTTAAGTTGCCCTGTGGGATGTGCAGGCCAGTTGGGCTAGCTGTGGGAAGTGCAGGGATGTGGTGGAATGCTCTTCAGAGGGTCAGTGATGACTTGAGTGGCATCTTTCCAGACAGTAGGGGTTCCATGAAATGGAAACTTGCTGTACTAATAAGGATAATTTACCCAGCAACTCAGGGTACCAGTCCACATTATCAATGTTTGACCAATTGAGTCCATTGTGAAATATCTACCAAAAGAGAGGTGGGAAATTTATTTTCACCACTGTTAATTATCTTCGAGAAGCAATATAATGTCTGGTCTGGGATTTGTGTCTTCAGTTAGTGGAGTGTCAAGAATTGCAGGAGTTATGAGGTAGTGGGCAGTGCCTCTGTTCTTTGGGATAGAAGGCCTGAGGTCAAGTCCCGCCTGCCCCAGATGTGTGTCTCGCACATCTGAAAAGGTTGATCCGAATGCTTAGCCTTTTGGCGCTCTTGCAGCACTGCGGTAGTGACCTTACGTCTAAGCCAGGAGGGAAGGGTTCAAGTCCGACCTACTCCGATGGTAAGTCATAATGTCTGTGAACAGGTTTATTTAAATTTTTTTAAAAAACAGAGCTGGGTTTTTCTCCAGTGAGGGATTGGGTTCTGGATAGGGAAAGGATCCAGAAGGGAAATGTGGAAACTGGCATTTGCTCTAAACTGTCGAGTTACAATCAAGCCCTCATAAAATTCTGAAAAACTGATGGTGTACTGCTCGTGTCTTCACCCCTGAGATAGTCCATTTGCTCCAAAGGTGTGTAGTAACAATACCCACACAATACCCACACCCACATTTTTGGGATAAGCCCCAAAGCTGATTGCAATTGGTTGAACAATATTATTACACACCTCTAGAGCAGGTGGGATTTGAGCTGCTGGTTCAGAGAGAGGGACACCGGCAGCAGTTCTATTAAAGTTCCTTGTTGATTGTGACAGGATTGCTTTATCTTAAAGTGGACTGCCTCACACAGACGCCACTGTTTTTTTTCTCTGTAGAACCGCCAAAAGTGACCATCAGCTAAGATCGACGGTTGAGTTTGAACACCCAGAATGTGACACTCACATGCAAGGTAAAAGCCAACCTTCCAGCTACTAAATACTCATGGCAAGAGTAAAGAAGTGATTAATTCAAGAAAGTCCTAATTGTGTGAATTTCCCACAGGGTAGAGATATTACGTGGCTCTCATATTCTGCTTGTGATGTGATCCAAAACTGGATATACATAGGAAATAGGATCAGGAATATGCCATCCAACTATCCGAACTAGCTCCACCCATTCAAGATGATCGCAATCAATCATCCAACTCAGCCCCCTTGTTTCCCGCTTTCTCCCCCATATCCTTCAACCCCTTTAGTCTTAAGAACTACCTCTAACTTCTTTCTGAAAATACTCACTGTTCTGGCCTCAGTCGCTTTCTGTGATAGAGTTCCACGGGCTACTCGATCTCTGGAATGAAGACTTTCCTCCTCATCTCAGTCCTAAAGGGCTCAGCCCCTTATCCGGACTTATGTCATAAAATGTCTGAATTAAAACTCGCTACAGTCAGGAATGGTACCTCATTGTTGTAAACTTGTGGTAATGCCCCTACCTCTGAGCAAGCAGGTCCCCATTCAAGCACCACCTACTCAAGAGAAGGTATAATATCTCTGGTGATGCCTGGTTATCAGGAATATCTTTCCTGTCTGGTCTTGTTGGAATTTTATAGGCTTCAATGAGACTCCACCTACCACCCCGTTCCCCCATCATTCTTCTAAACTCCAGTGAATATAGCCCTAACCAATCTGGTCTACCTTCCTACATCACTCCTGCCATCCCAGGTTACAGTCCAACAGATTTAATTGAAATCACAAACTTTCAAAGTGCTTCTGCTTCGTCAGGTGAAGTCACTCCAAAAACTTGTGATTTCAAATAAACCTGTTGGACTGCTGACTTTGTCCACCCTAACCCAACCCCACGCACCTCCACATCATCGATCCCAGGAATCAGTTTGGGAAATCTGTCACAGTCCCTCCGCTGCGAGAACATCCTTCCTCAGAACAAGGAGACAAATACTCCAGCGCTCCTAAACTGCTACCATTTATAGATCATTAGTTTGAAGGAGTGTTTGGGCTATCAAGTAGCTAGTAACATTTGCGCCACACAATTGCCAGGCCATGATCATCATGATAAGAGACAATCTAACCACCGTCCCTTGACATTCAATGGTGTTATGAATACTAAATCCCCTCTATTGACATCCTGGGAGGTTATCATTGGCCAGAAATTCAACTGGACTCATCATATGAACACAATAGCTTCAAGAGCAGATCAAAGGCTAGGAATCCTACAGCAAATAACTCTTCAAAGCCTGTCCCACTGTCGACAAGGCACAAGTCAGGAGTGGGATGGAATACTCCCCACTTGCCCTGGATGGGTGCAGCCCCAACAACACTCAAGAAGCTCGACACCATCCAGGACAAAGCAGCCCCTGCTCGATTGGCACCACATCCACAAACATCCCACTCCCTCCCCCACCGATGCTCAGTCGCAGCAGTGTGTACCATCTACCAGATGCTCTGCAGAAACTCACCAAAGATCCTCAGACAGCACCTTCCAAACCCGCGACCACTTCCATCTGGAAGGACAAGGGGCAGCAGATACATGGGAACACCAGCCCCCTGCAAGTTCCCCTCCGAGCCCCTCCCCATCCTGATTCGGAAACATTCCTTCAATGTCACTGGATCAAAATCCTGGAATTCCCTCCCTAAGGGGCATTGTGGGTCCACCCCACAGCACATGGACTGCAGCGGTTCAAGAAGGCAGCTCACCCCCCCCTTCTCAAGGGGGCAACTAGGGACAGGGGCAATAAATACTGGCCCCAGCTGGTAATCCCCACATCCTACAAATGAATTTCTTTTAAAAACTCAGTTCAAAACTCCACTCTGGTGATGTACTGTGGTAAGTACTTAATGGTATCAAATTACAAATTGGAAAATTGCAAACTGATAAAACTAGAGGTTGCACAGACTGAAAGAGACAGGAGAGGGCATATACTTAACTTAGATCCCAAAATCAGCTGGTTAGACTGAAATGCCAACACAATTAAAAAAATTAAACAAAGACACTTCCAGATTCATACCACATTATTTGTGTTTCAGGCAAAAACAAAAAAAACTTGACATTAAATCTGACCAGCCATTCTCATCCCAGGGATAGGCGTGATACTCAAACCTCAAGTTAGTCTGAATTATCCTTTTTCAGATTGGGGTATCTTTCCCTTAATGACAGAGTTAAAATCCAAAATCACTGGAATTGCAGTCATGTTGAATCCTTCCTGTCAGTCCAGCTGGCAGGAATGGGGACAACGTTTATGGGAACGTGGGGAAGGGGGTCCGTTTAATTGGCTTGAGTCATAGGAAGTGTATGTGCATTGGGTTTAAGATATTTTCACATCAATACGTTCAGGCATATTATTATGCATCTCTAGACTTGAACGCAAGTCTCCTGGTTCGGGGGAAAGCGTCTATCACTGCAAGTGAAGAGCTGTTAATGTGCATTGGGATTAACCAGCGTCCCCTCCCTCTGAGATAATTATTCCACTCCTTGAAAATGGAGTCACAGGTAGACAGGGCAGCGAAGAAGACTTTCGGCTTGCTAGCTTTCATCGATCAGAGCATTGAGTATAAGAGTTGGGACATCTTGTTGCAGGTGTATAATGTAATGGTGAGATCTCATGGAGAGTTGCAAGCAGTTCTGATCACCCTACTGTAGAAAGGAAATTATTAAACCAGAAAGAGTGCAGAAAAGATTTACTAGGATGCTACCCGGGCTGGAAGGTTTGAGTTATAGGAGTGGTTGAATACGCTGGGACTTTTCTCTCTGGAGTGCAGGAGACTGAGGAGTGACCTACCAGAAGCCTATAAAATCATGACAGGCATAGATAAGGTAGATAGCCAACAGTTTTCCCCCACAGTAGCGGAGTCTAAAATCAGAGGGTATAAGTTTAAGGTGAGAGGGGAGACATACAAGAGGGTTCAGAGGGCTTTCACACAGAGGGTGGTGAGTGTCTGGAATGAGCTGTCACAGGTAGTGGTGGAAAGTGAGTATAATTTTGTCATTTAAGAAACTTTTAGACAGGTACATGGATGAGATAAGTTTGGAGGGATATGAACCAAACACAGGCAAATGGGACTAGCTTAAATTGTAAAAACTGGGTAGCATGGACAAGTTGGGCTGAAGGGCTTGTTTCCATGGAGATAGCAAGAACTGCAGATGCTGGAGTCAGAATCGATACAGTGGGGAGCTGGAGGAACGCAGCAGGTCAGGCAGCATCAGAGGAGCAGGAG